GCCTCATCATTCCTTTCTCTGACTTTGCTGCGTTCGCCATGGCCTCTTCCTCTCGCACGTTGGCGGCCGACCTTCAACTCTTCCGTGAAGCACATCTGGAACATCTTCTAGCGCTCGCATCGACATGATCTTTACAAGCCGGCAAGCCACAGCCAGCGCAATTACCCGTCCTCGGGCGAAAGCAAATCGAACGAAACTGAGCCACTATGGAACTCTCTGTTTGAGTTCCTCCCACATCTGCGGGTGGGGACTGCGCTACCGCCCCTGCCAGCAGGGTTGACGATCCCGCGTCTGTTACATATGTCAAGTCGGACTGGAATGGAACAGATACAGTGCCAGACGACTGAGCCGCTGACCATAGATGAACGTTCGTCCCAGTCAGTCTGCTTGGCCGGCGGGCATTTAGCATTGCTCGATTGCACGCGCTGCAGAGATGCTCTGGCTTCTTCATGCGATCTAAGTTCTTCCACGTATTGATTGTTCTGGTCAGCTATCTTCGCAGCTACTACTTGGGTGTTGACCACTTCCAGCCTGGCGTTTTTAAGTTCTTCTTGTAAGGTCTGCTTTTCTCGTTCCGCCCTGACTGTAGCGATTTGTTATCCTTCTACTCTAGCCACCGCAACAGCAGCGGTGACCGTTTCGGCATTAACAGACTGATTAGTTGCCGCCGTAACGGCCTGTCGTTCCGAAGCCAGCATTTCAAGATATCTGTTCTCGGCTCCTATCTCCGCCTGCCGCTTAGCGGCCGCGGTCTGACGATGCATTTGTTCCACCAGTTCTCCTTCTCGCCCTCTAGCGGCCAAAGCTAGGGCGAGTCTGTCAGCCTCTAACGTCTTCCGAACTTCTGCCATGGTGGCTGTCATCTCCTCTCGATCCAGACGGGCCCCTTCGGGCAACTGTGCTTCGCTGGCGAGGAAGTCTCGCCGGGTGCTAGCCTCAGCTAGCCTAGCCTGATCCTGAATAGTTTGCATGAGAAGATTTGTGCAATTGTGCTCGTCCATCGGGAAGCATTCTATACACAACCGTTGGGCACTATTGGGGCATGCATCAGAGCAACTCTTCCAAACTGGATGCCTACATGCACCTTCTGGCCTGTCGGCTTTCCCTGGGCATCTGCTTTCCGCCCGAGGCGCGCAGTCAAGGTTTGGGTCCCAGCATGCCTCCATTATGGAGATGGTACTGTTGCTCCTTGAAGTAGATCTCGCCCCTGATCTTGGCATTTTGGGTCTTCCCCTACTAGACGTATTTGATCAGGGGCGCGCGAACGCACTTGCTGGGGGTTTAGGTACCTCTAGAATCTCCTCATCCCTCTCGTCCTGGCATATAAGCTCAGAGTACGAAGCTGGTTGCCCAATCATTTCTCAATCCTCAACAACAGCTGGTATCGAGGGTTGCCAGTCGCCTGAGGCGACGGCAGGACGATAGAAACCTTATTTTAGTGGTGGGTCGTTTAAGTCATAATCCTCGTTTCTCTGCTTCTTGAGTTGAGGTGCAGGAGTCCTTCCTGTTGGCCCCCTGCCATGCTTCGCCTGAGTCTCATTCCCGTCCGCCTGAGGCGTCAGGATACTGGTATCTTCATGAGATCCATCTGGGGACCACCTCTCGCCTTGGGCGGGATTGTCTTCTTCCATCATCAAGGACAATTCTCGGCTCAGAAAGATTCCTGTTGATATTGTCAAAATCTTCCTCCATTGAATTTATGTCATGCTCGTTATAGGATCATCACTGTGTTGACCGGGCTGTCAATTTAATGCTATTGGGATAATTGGGATGGATACATTTCTATTCGTACCTGCCCATTCGCCTGGGACGCTGGGGAACACGCCTGCGTTCTCATGGGCTTCCCCTTGCCGGCTGGTTTCACCAGTGGCAGGCGCGACTGTACGTGTAGCATTCGGAATCGGGCTGATTGACTCCGTCGATTTGGCACTCCAAGACGAGAACGCACTTCGTCTAGGCCTCGCGGTTATGCCCTTTCGTCCATACGGGTCTGGGGTTTGTTCCCTATTGCCAATCGGACCTTCCAGAGGGAGATACAGCTACTGATATCTCTACCACTCCTTCAGTGCTCCTACCCCTAGACGCCCGAGTGGCGATATTGGAAGGAGGAATGCGGCCCTGGCCAGGACCGCTCTCGTTGATGTCATGTCCGTCACGTTGTGCAACATACCGACCTGCGCTTCGCGAAGCGACGGACACGTCATCTGTCTTATCGCAGTTCATTCCCGCAGCGACTAAGTCGAGGGGTTCATCCGAAGTTCTTGCTTCTGGGTGAGATGATCCCGCGTCGGCTAAGTCGCGCGTTTCGGCTGATAACCAATCTTTCCTCTGAGAATCGGGGTGATATGCCAAAGGAATTCAAATATCATGTTCACTCTGCTCAGGGAGAGAGGGGACGGGACGAGACATTGATAAGACAAGTATCCGGTAAGCAGGCCTACTATATCAGGAATGTGAAGGGAGGAGGCCGGCTGGCCTACGACCGACGACGGACGACGGCCGCGGGCTGGCGCGCTCCTTTTCTCTCCTGCAAGCAAACAAAAGCTTGCTCGAGTAAACAAACAGCTGCAGTATGCAGCGCAAGTTCAAGTCAGACAGTGCACAGCATGCAAATATGTTTATAAGAGGTAATACTACGAGGCGGAGAAGAACATATGTACTAAGAGGGCTCCAAGACGGCCCAAGAGGGCTGCCTTCCAGGCTTCCCAGAGCGCTCCAGGAACGCGCCAAGAAGGCTCCGAGACGCCCCCGAAATGGTCCAAGGGGCCCCGAGTCGCCGAAAGATTGTTCCAAGACGCCCATGCTGGTCTCCAGACGGCCCTAAACGCCGCCCGGAAGCTCCACGAAAGCCTCCAGAGGCCCTCCAAGAGGGCCCCAACAAGCAAACATCGCTTCATGTTCCTTAGGAAAGCGTGCATTTCTGGCACAGACGGCGCTCGGAAGTTCACAGCGTCCAGGACTGCCCAAGAGCCCCCCAAAATCGCCCCAAGATGGCCCAACATGCCCCCAAGATGCGCCCAAAAAGGGCCCAAGAGGGCTCCAAGACGGCCCAAGAGGGCTGCAAGACAGCCCAAGACGCCCTAAGAGTTGGAACTCGAAATTACATTTGAAGCGTTCCGACCCCAGGGGCCCCTCCGAGACCGCCAGCAGGCTCGCAAGAAGCACCCAGAAATCCCAGGAAGCCCCCGAGACGCTCAAAATCACGCCCCCAGGGCACCCACACGGCCCTGACGAGGTCTCAAGAAGCTTGAAAACTGCCTCCAAATGGCTTCTGCGACACCTGCCAGGATACCCCAACACCGCCGCATCAAGTGTCCCCTGCGCCCCATCGACAAGCCCCAGAGTGAGCACCCACGACCAGCAAACCCCAAATACGGCACCCGAAGTCCAACAAAACACCCCACAACTAGCCGCCCCGTGAAAAGCGACCGATTCTCCTGAAAACTCCAAAGAAATCCAGACGAATCGCCACAGCATCATGCCCCACGCAACGCCTCAGAAAACGGCCGACGGTTCCGCAGCTCAACACTGCCAACGACCACTCGGCCAGTCGACGCAGCAGTGCCCAAAGATGGGTCGGAGGAATGAGCGAAGCGATTGAATATTCTGATTCGAGCCATCCCCACCCGAGAACTCGAGGCGGGATAACCGGGGACCCCCGGAAGCCTGGCGGCCGCGGTATGCAGTCGTCACTCGTCGGAAGCACCCAGCGCGCAAGGGAACGGTCGTCCTCGTCGTCGTCGTCGTCGTCGTCGTCACGCGAGGCGGGATACCCAGGGAGCAGCGGCACACTCGGGGCCCGGTGGCCGCAGCACGCCGTGCGTGCGAGGCGGGTCGGGGGCCCTGGCCCTTGAACCCAACACCGAGGGTAGGGGATCGACTACAACATGGATTTCCCCCAGAATTGATAGTCCCGCCGAATCTACGCACAAATGCGCACAGTGTCCCGTAGATCATTCTATGTGTTTCTTGCGTACTCGGCAGGAGCATCAATTCTAGAAGAACTCAATTCTGCAGCTGATCTTCAAGAGCCGACGTACCCCTAAACTTTCGGAGGTCCGCGCGGATCTCTCGGATCGGCGCTGGAGGCGCCGCCAGGGGGGCCCCAGCGCAGCTCCAAGAAACCAGCGCGGAGCTCGGAGAAACTTCAGAAACTATGCTCATGCCGTTTTTTGCCCCTCGACAACCCCAAACTGCCAGGTGTGTGGGACAACCCGGTCGAGGTCCAGGCGGTGGGGGCTCGCTGGCGAGGGAGGGGGGAGGAGAGAGGGGTGAAGCGGAGGGAAGAGGGAGAAGGGGGAGGCAGGGGGGAGGTAAGAAGGGAGAAGGGGAAGCGGCCCCAGGAGCGCCTAATTAACGTGGTGGCGCAGAGCCCTAATTAG